TGCCTCATGTTCTTGTGTCCACTCACCTCTTTATTTTGCTTCCTTTCTCTTCACTGCCATCTCCTTGCTCTCTTTATTCCACTTCTCGCTTCTCTGTTCCTAGCACCTGCCACTTGGATTGAAAAGTTCCCATCTGCTCATCACCTGATGGGACACATCCCTGCCCAGAAGCTGGGAAGAACTGGTACTAAGTAGGAGAGATTCAAAGATGCAAGAAGCAAAATACGTGTAATCTTTTTATTTCAGGCTTCTGATGGTCAAAGTGGATGACAAACCCTATTTCTGCTGCTCCCTCCCTTTGTTTAAGTGAAGGGGAAGAGTGTGGCTCTGGAGGATCAGTCTCATTTTGTCTGGCCTCTATGCCATTGTAGGGAGATCCTCAGAGAAATCATGTAAAAGCATGTGCCTCATGGAAGTACTGCCTTCTGTTGTGAATTCATAGCACCCTGTGGTGTGTGCCTTTCTCTGAGCAGGACCTGAGTGCCGCAAGCCAATGAGGGAAGAGCCAGAGCAGAAGCCTGCTGAGTTGCTGCATATTCACACTGACTCAAGATACTCACCACCTTTTTCAGCTCTAGTTATGTGGCAACATTAAATATGACCATGGGCATCTATCTAAAAGATTAAAGTGTATCTGGCTTTTTCTAGCCATGCAGGTGAATGAAATTTTCCCTCCCTCTCCAGCTCTCCATAGAGACCAGCTCCCTGCTGCCTGGGTTGCCAGCCAGCCACAAGCTTAATTGGGGCTGTCATCAAAAGAAATGAGTTTCCAGATGAGCTGAGTTCAAGCAGGTCTGGATCTGAAGCGTGCAGCTGCCCATTCCCTTTTGTCCCCCTTTCCCTTCTGCCTTCTATTTTTTCTTCTCTCTTGCCTCTGTTTCTATTTTTTAATGTTTTATTTTGAGGTTATGAATGCAATGTGCTCCCCTGATCATGAGGGGTGAAACTCGGTATCCAAGTAACTTCAGAGGGGCACGCAGGCAATGCAGTGCAGTGCAGGGACCTGCTGCTTGAAGGGTGGTGTAATGCTAGTATTGTGAAGCATTGGTCAGGGGCATGTTCCTTAGAATCATAGAATCAACTTGGTTGAAAAAGACCTCCAAGATCATCAAGTCCAACCGTTACCCCAGGACTGCCAAGTTCTTGGCATGGAGCATCTCCTGCCTGCAGCCAGGCTTCTAGAAAAGGCTGGGAAGGAGAGAAAGTCTGGTGCAATTAACATCTCTTACAGTCTGTGTCCTAGCATCCTTATTCATCTTTTCACTTGAACAGTCTCTAATGCTGTGCCCTAGACAGGGTGGGCTGTTTCTATTAGGCCACTGCTCTGTGTGTTGATCACTTGTACCATCTCAGTATTTTTTCAGTACTTAATCTCATGTTGTCAGGTTTTAAAGGCTGGGCTTTGCTGCTGCCCTGGAGTGGCCAGGGCTGATCATTCCTCTTTCTGACTCCCTTCTCAGTGCAGTGCAAGTGTGATTAATTCCTCAGAGCACCACTGCTTTCGGTAGCACTCTAAACACTCCCAGTGTTCCAGAGCTATAGTAATGATTGAAGTGTGATAGGACCTCCATTATGCCATGGAGCAAACTCTTTCCAAATGCTTGTGTCCTCTAGGTTTGTCTGGGGCATAGAATGATCTTGAGAGGTTGAGCTGAACAAAACCTCTCAGAGACTGCAGATTTTGGGCTATAACTCCAGTATCTCTACTGCGATATCCTCCATACCCTTAAAGTACTGAAGTCACCAAGTACTGTTGTTTATCCCGTTTTTCCTGAGCATACCATGTAGCCTTCTCAGTGCTGTCATCACTAGCTCAGGTCACCAGATAATACAGCTCTATCTCTTAGAGATAAGTTGTTCCCTATTCCTAATGTCATATGGCAGTTTGCTTCCTAGATCTCCTGAAGACCAAACGTGATTCCCTGTGCATCTAGTCTGGCAGAAAAGGTCAAGGGAGGTAGCAGGAAGAGGCATGACAGATGGAGAGACCACTCTGTGCTGTGAGAGAGCTGGCAATTACTTATTGATTAGCTCAGGAGGTGATGCTTCAGCTTTTGTAAGTGGCATTGGTCTGGAGGGGGCTCCAGCGCAGATGCTGAGTGAGCACCTGCATTAGGGAGATGGGTTTTTTTTGGTGAGTAGGGTTGAGGAAGATAAGGGTAAATCCCACCCCAGGCTTTGCTGTCTCTGAGAAGTCTCACTTAGCCTGGTGCTGACAGCTGTGTTATTGAGTGAGAGGAGGTGAGGTGAAGCCTGGGCTCTCCTCCTTTACCCCCATGTCAGCACAAAGGCCAAGCCATTGGCAGTGAAGAATGATGCCAGCAGTTCAGAGCTGTAAGTGTTATCTTATTCTTTTCAGCACTTTACCCTGCACATCACCAAATCTACTGAGGGCTGGACTGTGGTAAACAGGGACCATGCTGCCCACAGCAGCAAACCATTTGCCTCTTGACCCACTTTGACAGGGAAGCAAAGCAGGGCTTCTCCCACCACATGGGGATTTGTTCTAGCTAGCAAAATTCATGGTTTGGGAAGCCATGGAGCCAAATGCCACTGATAGGTTCCATAAAGGGCTGGATGATTTTATGGCCAATAATAACATTTGTAGTTATACATGCTACAGTAAGATAAGGCTAATCAATTCTCATGCTTCAGGTCAGCAGATGATTGCTGCAGGGGTCAGGAAGGAATTATTTCCTCACCATTTACAGCTTTACTTAATTGGCCAGATGCATTAAGAGCCTTTTAATTATTTTTTTTTTCCTCTTCTGTCCTCTGAAGCATATGGAATTAAGCACTTCCAGAGACAGCGCTCTGCACTGGTAGGGCACCAGTGCTCCTGTATGGCAGGGCAAATCTTGCCTGCATTAATGAACCCTTTTAATGCTGGGATTTTTGCTGGAAGTTAGCAGGGTGGTTTTTATTCCAGAAGAGGATATTTCATTACAGCTTCCTGATGTAACTTGGAGGAAAATTCATTTGGTTCTTCAAAGCGAGTAATGTGTTTAGGACCTGCTCTAAGCTTGGGGCCAGAGCTGGATGGGAATTTTCCACTGCAGTGGAAATGCTAGTTGCATGGGCATAGCAATTTCTGTAATTCTTGATTTATAGCTTACACTGGACAAAAAAGCTAACAAACAAACCACCAAAACCCCAAAACTGGGGCAAATCCAAATTGAAGAGCTTTGTTTGGAATTGAATCATATTCTTTGCTTTAAATGAACCGAAACCTGCAGTTAGTAAATGCAATGCTGGAGAGCTTCTGCCAGGGCTGGTTTTGGGGAACTGTGATGCAGATGCTCTGCTCCTTGGCATGGGCTGTCCTCCGTGGGGCGAGCTCATCTTTACTGTGCTCTCTAGTGCCATGCCCTTAGCCAGGGGAAAGGAGCATCCTGGAAAACAGACTGACAATCCCAAGCTACAATTCCTATGACTCCACATGACTTTGCAGAAACACACACCTTACAATTCCAACTCTGAAAGGATCTTAAGGCATCCCAAGTTAAGATAAAACTGAGTTTTTCTTGATTCTATTCTGAGTCTCACTTTGAGGGAAACTCCATTACATCAGAGTTGGTTAAGCAAGCAGCAGCACAGAGCTGTTTGGGCTCCTCATACCATTTCCTTGCTGCTGGCTGGAGCCGGGTATGTTATAATCCACCTCTGCGCCAGCTCAGGATTTGTCTAGAAGTGCTATTCTCTTTCATCAGGGAAAAAGACACATGCCGTTCATTTAAATGAAAAATGCATAATGTCTTTTCCTCTTCAGAGGAAACCTGCAAGAGAATTTTTCATTTCAGAAGCTTTCCACTGAAAACCTGCTTTTTTGCCAAGGAATATTTTTTAAAATTCCTTTTTCCATTTGATTAAAACAAACATAATTTTAAAAGCAGCAAACCTAGGATGTTTAAAATATTCTCTTTAAATTAAAAGCTCTGGTTGCTTTGTGGGACTTTGAGATGAGCTGAAGTTTGCCTTGATTCAGACTGGAGCACCAAATTTCTTCTCTACTGTTTATTTTTTGTTTTGTTTTGTTTTGTTTGTGGGTCGTTGTTGGTTTTTTTTGTTTGTTTGTTTTTGTTGTTGTTTTGCAAACTTTAGGAGTTGCTGAACTTTTGTCTGACTTATGAGAGCAAAATACATAAAACATCTCCCCTGCTCTTCAGAACAGCAATACTGTATGCTTCCTTACTCTAATTTGTCATATTTCTTTTAGCAGGAAGGGAAGCTCCAGGCAAAGCCTGACACTGCCATATATGTTCGACAAGTGGGCTTCATAATTTGCTCCAATCTCCCTGATTTGTAGCCATTTTTGGCTTCTCGTTCTGCCTTCTGTCTCTAGAAGGGCTGTCCCCCTCCAGCCTCAGGGCAGTGAGCTTGATGTGGGAAAGGCTGCCTTGCCTCTCCTGGTCTGTCCCCATGCTGGAGTAAATGTGAGGTGCATAATGAGGTTATTAGGATGATTATAAGAAGACAATGATGTGAACTGTGTTATCTCCTCTGGGACTTCGACTGAGGTGACTATGTGGGAGACTGGAAGTTGCAGCAAGGTAAGAAAGAGGAGGGTGGGAGTGAGACTGGGGAGCCTTAACTTGGGCTGTGATGCTAAGGAAGGTCTTAACTGACTCTGGGGTTAGGCTCCTCTTGAGGCAGCTTCCAACTTGTGCAGATCGTCATTTTAATTCTTTCTGCAATGAAAGAAACTCAATTTATTCTTGCTCCTTAAAATCCCACTCTGCTCCAAGAGCAGATGGGGTCCTGGGGAGTGTTGTGGAGATTCAGACCCTTCCCATAGGCTGGACCAGGTGAAGAGTTTCCATCTCAGTTCTGCAACAAATGCTTCCCAAAAAATTTCATTCAGCTCATCCATAGGTCAAATAAACCCTGCAAAAACTCCACACTGAGGGAAAAATCCATATTTATTTTACCTACGGGAATCTCTGCTTCAGGATTCAGCTTTCTGAAGTACCTTGCTTGGGATGGAAAGGGTTGCAGGCAGCTCAAAGCATAAAGATTTTAAAAGGGAGAACATTACAAGGGCATTCTCCTAGCTGAAGGCAAGATCCTGCTGGGCTGCTATGCTCCAGTGCCTTGCAGGAGAGATGTATCCTTCTGTCCCGGCTTCTGTCTCCCTGTATCTGAGCACATCAGAAGTTTAAGTGCACTTATTGTCAGAGAATATCTCTGAGGGGGTTTGGTCCATTCCCCCATGCTCACAGAAGGGGTTTTGGATTCTGAAGTGCTGCCTGGGAAAGCAGTGACCCTTGCAAGCTTGAGTTGTCATCCTGAAGTTGTCAGAGTTGCTGGGCTGTGTCTTCATCTGCAGCAGTCATACCTCTCCTTTTGCCTATGGAGAGACAGAAATAAATAAATCAGGGGTTATTAATCAGATTAATTGTAAAACTTACACAAATCACTGCCCTCTTTCCCAGTCTATAATCACTTGCCTTCGACAATCGATCAGATAGTGCCAGTCAATATTTTAGTCTTTTTCAATACCAAGGCAGCAGTACTATGGTTTGTGCATTGGGCAGGGATAGTATAGACCACGCAATTATTATTGCCATTATTTTAATAAAGACTGGGAAGAGTGAAGTTCACCTGCTACAATGGGAACTTTGGACAAATGCACCAGGAAAATGACAAATATAAACTTTCAGCTGTTTTGCTTTTGGTCTGCATTTATTTCCTATCTGGTTGAAACCTCCTGCAAAAAGCTCTACTGGACCTGCATGCAGGGAGGTCTTGGCTGAGTTTCAACCACTGTAGCTTCAGTTCTGCCTTGTTTTTGAATCTAATATTCAAGTTATAACTGAGTTCCCTCTCAGCAGAGCTGTCAATAGGGGAGAGGGAGATTATACCTGTTCTCCCAATTGGAAAAAAATCTGCTATTACTAGTGAAATGTTGAGACTTTAGAAATGCAAGTCAGTTCTTCATTTTAATAATGGAGAACTGACTGTATGGGTGGGAGAAGCAATATGACTACTAATTACACACAAATTCTCTATTTCTTTTAATTGTTTCCATAACTTGATTTACTTTTGAAATACTCTGTGAATACTTTGCTTATTTACTGTCTCTTCATATTACTATCACTTTTCCTGCCCTGACTGATGAGGCACATTCATCATTTCTTTTCATTTGGTATGGACAGGTATAGTTGGTCTTAATATAGGAGCTTCCTTAGAAAAGGAGCTTCTGGCAAAATGGCTAATATAAATTTAAAACAGAATAAGTGATCTATAGGGAAGAGGTAGAAGTAGTTTGAAACTGAAGAAAACACTTCATGAACATCACTTCAAGAGCAAGGAAGAAGATCTAAGCAGGATCAACTTATTTTGTAGATAAGGTGTCCTGGTTTCTGCTGGATTAGAGGTAATTTTCTTCCAACTTTCAAGTTGGAAGTGTTTTCAACATTATTCTCATGTTAAATTCGAAACACAGCACTGTACCTGCTACTAGGAAGAAAATTAACTCTATCCCAGTATAAACCAGGACATGGGGAAAGGAAAAGCTTGGGTCAGTATAACTGGGGAGATCAAAGAACAAGTATTGAGACTGTGTCTTTCCTTGGTCCTTAGGCCATCAAGGTTCCAGTGAAATACCTCCAGAAGCATTTCTGAATGGCTTTAGGACTTCACTTGGACATTCAGGCTTAACTAGAAAGGTACAGCCACAGTGTCTGCATAACCCCTAGTGTACAGCATATTAACAGACACAGATGCATGCATTTATCCTTGTGTGTGTCAGGACAGCAGGGGAATACAGCTCAATTTCTATGACATCAGAGGAAGATGTTGCTAACCCGACCCTCTTCAGCAAACCTTTTGCTTCCTTTCCATATTGCTGCCTTTCTGCACATTTTGGTCACACGGTGAGCCTACCTGTTATGCCTCAGAGATGTTCCTCCTGCTTCTGTAGGTAGCCAAAAATACTTACTAGCTTTCTCTCCTTTATTGCTGCATCCAGGGATCCAGCCAGGTGTTTCTTGCTCAGCTGCATGCCCAGTTCTCTTCTTCTTTCCCACCTATTGCAATAGCATTTCTTCCTCCTGTGGAGCTGTTGGACAGCTGTGTTCAGCTACAGACTGCAGCTACTGTCCTCCTTTGCCCACGCTTGCTGAAAAAGAGGCTGTAACAGCTATTTTAATTTCCTCAGGTTTAGCTTCAGCTTACTGCTTCTTGGCTCGAAGGACCCTTACATAAATCTAACCTAACCAGTTTTCGTCCAAGATTCAAGACCTATTCTGTATCTTATTTCCCGTATGCTCTTTATAATTCTTTGTCTGTGGACAATTTTTGCTTCTAATTTTGCAGTGCAAGTAACCTAAACTGGCTGAAATAAGTGTTTCAAAGATGACTTGATTGTAAGCCAGCGCTGGGGGCTGCCTTATATAGATGTTTCCTAAGCATTTTCTTCAGAAATAGTCAGCCCAAAAGCTGGTCTCAGAGGAGGGTCGTGGTTCAGAGTTATCAACGCAGGTTTTTATGAATCATGAGACTCGCACTCAAATTTAAATTCAGATAAAACATGCCAATTGAAGTGTATCTTTCCCTTGTCACTTCTGCAGAGAAAGATTTTATTAACACCAATTGCATGGAAACAGGGGTCAGCTGCAGTGCCCCCATGTAGATAAAAAGACATTAATGCACTTAGGCTGTGACAGCAAAGTGCAGCTGGTTTTATTTAATGTTCCTTCTAGATCCAGTGGGAGTTTTGAGTGAATGCTGCTGGACTCAGGCTGAGTTCAATGACAGATCCCTGGGGCAGAAAGGCTGTGAAGGAGCATCCTGTGGCAAGTAGTGTTGGTAGCAAGATCTCGAGTGGCCCCAGTTTATGTGGTAGCATGTTGTGAGGACCTTGGGATCACTGGAAATGAGTGAAGGATGCTGGATCTGAGGACCAACAGATGATCACAGGCAAATCCTGCCCAGACACCTGCCAAGCTGCAGTGGCTGGTTGCTGGCATACCTAGTGTCAAAGGGCTGGGAGCATACATGGAGTTATTTCTACCACTCACTTGCCTGAGCTCAAGCCACTGTCAAGGTTTGTGTATCCTGGTCTTTTCTTTCCAACAGATTCGTTTTTCACTAGCTCTAATTACTGTCAGTGCTGGAGATGAACTGTAGCCTGACCCAAGCAATGGATCTGGAAAGCTTTGGGAAAGGACTGTCGTTGATGTGAGAACACGCATCCACAACCCAGTCCGGAGTCCTGCATCCACTGTGATTTCTCTCGCAGGGTCCCTGAGCAGAAAGGCCGTGGCCCTTGCACAGAGCACAGGGCAGGAATGCACATTTCCCAGTCCCATGATACTGTCCGCAGCATGATGTGATGCTGCTGCGACTTCCTCCATTGCAAGCTCAATCACAAGCCTTGTCTCATATCACAGGACAGCATTGTTAAAAAGGCTGAGGTTTTAAAGCTCTGCTGCGCACTCTGCTCCTGCCTGGCGTAGCCAGCTGTGATGATGGATGTATCTCTCTGTCCTCGGCAGGAATTGTACAACACCTCATGACTGTGATGCCCTGTCAATTAGTACATCTTCTTCCATCAAGCAGACTATTTTGATGAGCCTGAAGCCGGCTTCCTGAGGTGTGGGCTGCAACCTGCCTGTGCCTTTTGCAGCACATGCACCATCTCCCTGCTGAAGGGGGTGGGAGCTGCTTCTGGAAAAGCTTTCTCCTTCTAGGTCATCTAATTTGAACCTTTCTACTAAATAGGCTGCTTGACATTTTTTGATATAAAGGTCAACATCCTCTGATAGACTCCCGGATTTTAAGGTAAGTGGAGGAAATGGCATTGGTAGGCTGATTTTGATAATGATACTAATCTTGTATCTGATCTTTGATAACGATACTAACCCTGTCAGTGTACTGCTCATATCTCTGAAAATGTGGCTGGTGTCTTTCTTTGTCACAACCAATGCTTATTAGCACAGAGGAGCTTTACTGGAGACTTTAACTTGTGCAAGAGCTGCCATACTGAATGCAGAAAAGGAAGCTTGAATTGTTTTTAGGTAAAAAATCAATGAGAACAAGTGGTTTTGGCTAAATATGGTAGCAACCTCCTGAAATAGTTTTCCCAAAATTGATACGTGTTTGCTGATTAATTATTGTAGCGATGAGTATGCATTAGACACACCAGTCAAAATGCATTGACAAGTGGGGACTTTTTTGTTTCAAAAAACGTCTCCAAATGCTACAAATCCTTTTATTCAGGCAGAGGAGGACAGAGGCTACATTTATTTGTGCTACTCAGGAAGCCATGAGGTTTGGGAAGCTTTGTGCTCTGGGAAAGGTAAGAAGTGGTTCAGTACAGGGTTGCATTGCATCCTTATAGGCTGTGGGCGATGGATTGTGAAGCACCTCTCATGCAGTATGTTGGAGAAGGTTTCTGGCCATTGTGTAAGGGCTTTTGAATTGCATAAGGTGGAGCAGAAAGAAATATGTTAGGACTGGGAAGATTTATCTATCCTTCAGACCCAGTGGTTACAGTGCTGGGGTGTGGAGATTTGGGTTTAGACCTTCTTGGGCTCAATGGCTTTGGGACCTTGGTCTTCGAGGCCAGATGCTTACTCTTAAAAGCAAGGCTGCAAGCATGGCAGGGAACAAAAGCTGCTAGCTTTCCTCCCAAGAGCTGCTTGGTCTCTCTGGAAGACTGGTCCATACTACCGAACTGGTGATGGCATCACGATTGCTGCAGTAATCTTTTGAGCTCTTACTGAGCCTGGAATAGGAAGAAGGTCTACCTCAGTAGACCCTTAGTGTGTGGTTGCACAGTACACATTTATCTAGAGAAAAATGCCCAGATTAAGACTGCAAAGTATGTTCGGGATTCCTGAGAGGACTCTCCCAGCAGAGCTTTGCCTTACCAACTCTGATCTCCCAAGGACTCTTCAGGAGATCAGAGTTAGCAGGGTCTGGTTTCCTGTGTATTGCTGCCCTTCATGCTTTGCTGTCTCATGTGAATGCTACATTAAATTTCTCAAGTTAGGATGATACAATGGTCTTCTAAATGGTCCTCTGGTTCCAAACATGATACATAGCATCAATTTCCAAGTAATCTTAGAGCCAGATAACTTGCAGTTTTCTCATCTTCTATGTAAACGCCTGTTGTTTTTTTCTCAGGAGCTCCACGTATTTTGTTCTCGGAACCTGGCTTATCCGAGTTTGCTTTCTCCTCTGCACAGTTTGTGTCTCTGCGTATTGTCATGCACTTCCCACAGTCCCAACAGCCTTTATTCTCCTGGCTTATGATCTACTGCTGAAAGCTGATTAACATCTCTCATCAGGTGGATCAGTTATTGCTCTGTATCTGGCTCAAGCCAAGAGGCTGTAGATGTTGGATTTCTTTGATAAGGTGCCAAAGCGTCGTTCTGAAGTCTGAGCCAAAGCACTTAGTAATGCTTTTCCCATCTCCCACCATGGTAGACTCCCAAATCCCAGTAGAAGCAACTTAATTCTATTACTTGGTCACCTTCTATCAAGGATTATCAGCCGTATCAGAAGATTTGTGTTTCTTCGTTTTCTTTGTGTTTGTTAGGTTCTCGCTATCGTTTGTTCCCTGTTGAGAGAAGTATAAAACTCCTTCCAGGTGACATTTGCAGAAAAAATCAATTGTTTATCAACATCCCAGCAATCAATAAGTGCAGTGATAGGTGCAACTGTCTCTATTGGAGCTGAACCTTGATTGCTAAGTAGCCAGCTTCTTTGCTAAAGCCAATTGTGCCTGATGCTTGGCTGTTCCTGTGTGGTCAAAGCTTGGAGGTGATCTCAGAGCACAAGTCTTCAGGGGAGCAGAGAGTTCCCTTTTGCTGTCCCAGGCCCTTCCCTTCCTCAGGACAGTGCCTCTTATTGCTCTGTGCTCATTCTCTCTGATCTCTGCTGTCTAGCTGTGAGAGCTCTGTAGCTGCTTGCACAAATGTGATCAGCAGTCAGGAAGGCATCTGGTCTTTGGGTATTTCTATACCAAGCCACAGTTTCACAGTGAAGAGGAGAACCATGGAACAAGATACCCAACCCAGTTCCTCACCCAGAGGTGAGGATATCTTTGCTTACAGACAAGCAGATACTACTGCTTGCAAGCAGTGTAGTATAGATACAAGCACTACAGTATAAATACAAGCAGTAGTATCTGCTTGTCCCTAAGTATTTGGGCAATCATATTATGGATAGGCTTGCATGCTTGACTAGACTCTCCTAGTCTCTCTAAGACTCTCCTCCCTTTTTCTGAAGCATCCTAATGACTGTATTGTTTTGCCACCCCATTCTCTGGGTAAGCATACTGTACTAGTAGCTATCTCTAGTCATCCGTTGTCTTCTTCCTTCTGTGCTACCTCTACCCAGCTGGTGCTGCTGGTGGGCACAGAGCTGTGCCCTTTGTCTGGGATAACTGCAGGGCTTTCACTGTTGCTTTAAGCTGTTACTTGTTATCTCATTAAATGAGGGAATTTAAAGATGGCCCTATCTGCACAGGGTTCCTGAGCATGAGATCCCCTATCTTAACCAACTTTGAGGTCTCCTAGTGACTGCCATGTGGCCAAGATACCACTTCACAAAAATGAGGCTAGGAGCTGGAAGAGTTAACATAAGCAGCTCACAGACACGTTGGAGAGTTACATCATGTTGCTGTGGAAACTAACTTTCTGAAACCACAGTGATATATGGTAAAGCTTTGGGTCAGCGGGTAATAAATTCTGTTTAAAAAGTGATTTTTTCCCCATCTGCTGATGTAAACATCATTAAGAGAAATGACGGCTGAGAGATGGATTTCTTTTTATATCAATTTTCAGACAAAGAAAATAATTTTTTATAATAAAAAAGTTGCTGGAAATCAGAGAGTGCTATAAATAAAAAAATAAAGAAAGAGCACTGGTGATGGAACAGAAATTTTCTGTGGTGATTGGTTTACAGCTGTCTGTGATTTAATGGGAACTTGCAGTTTCTTGTGGGAAGCTGCAGCAGAGCCCTGGACGGGCTCCATAAGGTGAGGCTTTGCAAATTGTAACCTGGATCTCAAACTTTTGAGGACTTCAGCTCATCATTCTCCTATGAGTACGCTGTCATCTGTGCTTTCTTGTCCTGCCCATTGCCATTGAGAATGCGTGTTTCCAAACAGCCTGCAATGGGTCACAGACTGGGTCACAGTGTTACCAATGGGATGCTTGCTAAGCTGTGGGGTTTTTTGGGTTTGTTTTTCACCCTTTGGGATCCAGGAAGGCGTGGAAGGAGGCAGCAAAGCTATGTCAGTTTACACAAAGCAGTGTGACAGTCCCAGCTAACTGCAAGTGTGTTACTGGGAATGCAGACAAAGGTGTCACCATGATTAATGGGGTAATTAATAAGCAATTAATGTGCTTTAGAGCATGGCTATACCTTTTATCTCAGCCATCCACTCAGCACTGATCCACTTTCTCTGATGGCGAGGGTTCAGAGTGGCTTGGGCAGACAGAGATGATGTTTCCCAATTTCCTCCTTGATGCCACCAAGAGCACCACTATAGCACTCAGAATTGGCACATCAGGGAGTCTGCTTTGGAGAGAAGGAAATTTGGTTTGGTTTGGTTTGTTTTTTTTTTTCCACTAACTGATGCAATTTAAAATGATTCAGTGGTTTGCCCTTGAAGTGAATGCTCTGAAATATCCTTCTTTGGCAGCTTCTCCATTCACATCCCCAGACTCTCTGAAAGCTGGCCCATGTGCAGGTCCCCCACCTGGCATCACAAATTCACATTTCCCTGACCTACAGCATTGCTCTCAGCTTGTCCTTCTGCCTCCTTGCTCTCCCAGCTCAGCCTGCATTTTACAGCTGCCCCTGTTAGCCCAGTGTGTTCTCTCAGTTATATTAAAGCTTATCAAGGTGTTATGCTCATGTCTAGAGCTGAACAAGAAATCTATTTTCTATT